TTTAATCTATTACTTTTACGAGTATCTTTCATAATCTGGAAATCTACTAAATCTTGATAAGATTACATTCACCTTATGGATAAATATATATAAACAATCAAAATTGACTGGAAAATAAATTTTGTTTGCTTTTGTCGATGACAACACAAATAATCCTGTAAAGAATTAATTCATATTAGTGCATTAATTTAATGTTGAATTAAGAAACAGCTGCAGGAAATTACAAAATGACCTTATTGAATTAGAGATAGTCTCCAGAGATTGTTAATATAGTATACATTTTATATATTGAAGGTAAAATGATCTTTATATTGGCAGTTGGTCTCATATAGTATTATCTATAGATTAGAGCACTAGCAATACATTTATTAATTTAAAATTCTTTTCTCCAATTGATTAGAAGATGAATTCGATTTAAGAGACTTTAGTTAATTAAAAGTAAATAGTTTCGTTATGATAAGATTAAAATATAATTTTGGGGTGCATTCTAGAATAACAAATGAATAATTATTTAACACTACTACTGATTATAAAGCATGTGTAAACATTGCCAATTTTTATTATTTCAATGGATGGACAACAATGGATTCAGAAATTTATTTGGATTATGATTTAGAATTGAAATACTTTCTAAAACCTTATTAGCTAAAAGGTCTTAATGTTACAGATTAATTTACGAATTTAGCTTTGAGATAATAGTCCAACCCAATATTTTATAGTGATTTTGTTGGATTGCTGTTATTTAAGAATACACGGATAGATACAATTTTATGGAGGATTTAGGTTCCTTAACAATTATGTTTTGGATTAAACCATAAAATATAGTATCGCTTTTTTAGTTTATATCTTTGACTGATGAGGCACTACAACAGACGAGCCTAGGTTCTGGAGTTAATTTCGACTATTAATTATAATTTCATCAAAATTATAGTAACTCCCCTTTAGGTCAACTGGAAAATAGCGCTTGGTCTCATATGACAGCTGGCGTTTTGGAGCTAAGTTATAATACTGATTTTATTCTAATGAATTAAAAAAAGCTATTCAGAGTTTATATTAATAGCGATTAGGTTTCATAGAAAATTATTTAAAATGTACTAGCATACAAAAGATTAATATTTGGACCAATATTTACCGATGATCTTGGTACAGAAATGATTGATATTCAAGACATCAGAATCCTTAAAGGTTATGGGATTAAACAAGGTCAAGGGGATTGCTTATTATTTGTTGGTGCATATTGTGCAATCTGTTCACCTAAAACCCATTATTGCAAAGAACAAGATCCATATGATGATAAAAACATTCATAATTGTACAGCTGGCTTTAAAGAAACTTAGAATGGTTGTTCTCCAATAACAACCTAGAATTCTCTTATACTATAGGGATTAGCTTGTATAAATTGTGCAGATAATTATAAATTATAAAACGGATAATGCATTTAGATAAATTCTTTAGTGTCTCCATATGCTTGCTCAGATCCTAATGCAATATTTTGCAAAAGAAACATTTCGAACTCTATTAATGAATGGAGCAAACTTTGTCAACCCTATTTTAGCATTTAGGATTCTGCAGCTTATTGCAAATAGAATTCATCAAACACTTGCTTTTAGGCTTAATTTTTTAGTGCTTGCTTTAAATGCAAAGATGGCTAATATTTATAGTCAAATTAAATTTGCTTAAAAAAGTGTATAGGAAAATATTGATACAAGTACAATTGTTCGAATACAGAATAACCCCCTATATACCTATGTAGAAGTACAAACAATTGCAATTATAGCGAAAAGGATATTGGCCATTATTGTCTAAGTGATAAAGAATAAACTTAAGAGTACTAAAAATGTGATTGGCGCGGAGCAGGATGGAATGATTGGGAAAAATGCAACTCACCTTGTAAATATTGCTTTTGTGCCAATGATATTCAATGTTTGGGTTGCGATAAAAATTATTTCTTTAGTTCGTATGACACAACCTATGTGAAGGATTGTAATAATCTTAAATATTTAAGTATAATGATAGAGATACAATGGTTTGTGAAATAGAATGCCCACCATCATATTTAACATAGGAATTAGAATGTGTGAAGAGTTGTAAAGGTGGCTATACTATTTATGATAATTCAGTATGCCTACCATATTCTCAAATTACAGATAACTTCTTAGTGACTAACAATGATTCTAACTAACCAAGGAACATATTCGTTGATTGCCCTCAAGTTTGCTAAACATGCACAAGTTAAACACATTGCACTCGTTGTCTAAATCATTATATTCTAAACTAAAATAGATGTCTTATA